CCTAACATTTTTCTTTTTACAAGTATTATTTTTTATGTCTGTACACCACGTGCACGCTGTGCTCAAGGAGGCCAGAAGAGGGCATCAGATTTCCCTGGGGACAGCATTCCAAATGATTTTGAACCACCCTATGGGTGCTGGGAATGGAACCTGGGCCCATGCTCTTAACCACTGAGCAATCTCCCCATCACCTATTTTTGTTATTTTCAACTTGTTTGTGTGTGTGGCCTGTGGGTGTGTGCATGTGAGTGCAGATTCTCTCGGAAGCTAGAAGTGCCAGTTCCCTCTGGAGCTGGAGTTACAGGCAGTTGTGAGCCGCCCAGAGTGGGTGCTAGGGATTATACTCCAACCCTTTATCAGGGCAGCATGTGCGTTAACCATTGAGCCATCTCTCCAGTCCTTGAACCCAGTTTTGTTTCTGCCACCAGTCTAGGCCAAGCTGGCATTTCTTGCTCATAACTCTGGAGTCAACTCTTTCTTGGTCTTCTCCTTTCTAACTATGCCTCCTTGTACTCTGTCCTCCCCATAACAACTAGCATTGTATGTTAAATTGAAAACCAGATCGTGTTGTTTCTTTTTAAAAATCTTCAGTACTTCTCGTAATACATGGCCTATGTGACCATATGAGATTGGGCTTTTAGAGCAGAGGATGTAGCTCAGCGGCAGAGGGCCTGCCTGACATGTGCAAGGCACTGGATTCTGTCTCCAGAGCTGCAATCAAATAGATGCAGATGATGTGCCCCTCTAGTCAAGCTCATCTCATCCCACTCCTTCACCCAGGGACCACACTCTGGCTGCATCCCCTTCCTCTCTGTTCACTAAGTTGTTTTTGGACAACTGGACATTTGCACTTGCTCTTTCCATTTGTTGGAGATGTTCTTCCTGCTTCTCTCTGTGGTTGGCTCATTCTCTTCTTTTAGGTTGTATCTCCAATGTCACCTCTCAGAATGGCCTTCCCTGGACCCCCAATTGAAAGATTTTACCTTTCCCCCACAGAATTCTTTAATTAAAGCACCCTGTTATTCCTCTTCCAACATTACTACCTAGCTTTCTGATCCGTTGGCTTGTCTATTGATCTCTCTGATCACTAGAATGTGATGTCCGGGGTCACATTTGCCTTTCGTATCACTGCATTCACAGTGCCTAATAGTTGTTGAACAAATGGACAAATGCCAGTCTTCTCTCTCTGCCTCCAGCCCTCTTCGCTTGCCTTCATCCCTGTGATCCTGCCTATGTCCTTGTATGAGTTACTGTTTTGTCGCTGTGATAGACACCATGACCAGAAGCAGCTTATAGAAGAGTCTATTTTGCCTTATAGTTCCAGACGGAGGGTCCACGAAGGCAGAGACAGCATGGCAGCAGGTGGGAGGTAGCCAAGAAGCTGAGACTTGGTCTCTTCAACCACGTGCAGAAATCCGAGTGCAAGCGGGACAAAACTACACTTTCCAACTCTGCCCCCAGGGAGGCGCACCCTCCAGCAAGTTGCTCCTCCTAACGGTTCCATAACATCCTGACCAGCACCATCAGTGCGTAGTGATATATCATTCATATTTTAATAAATAAAACCCTGTCTCAGAAAAAAAAACATACTCACACTTTTTTGGGGGGGGGGTGTTCAACCTGAAGATCAGAAAAGCAAAGCACTTGCTCTTACCTCCACCTCAGACTAAAATGGTGAAGCTGTCTCCACAAATTCTCAGAATGAGACTGAGCTGAGACCTGTCTCCTCCCATTTTATATTCCTCTCTAGGGCTGGGATTAAAGGCGTGTACCACTACTACCTGTTTCTATGGCAACTAGTGTGGCTACTGGGATTAAAGGTGTGTGTCACCACTGCCTGGTCTGTGTGGCTGACCAGTGTGGGTGTACTCGCTGATCTTCAGGCAAACTTCATTTATTAAAATACAAATGAAATATCACTAAAGTCAGTGGCAACTGAATATCCAAGTATATGCACCTAATAGGGACATATCCATTCAAATTATTACAGTCCTTTCTTCAAAACGGAGTTCAGAGCCAGGCATGTAAGGGGAAACCTGTCATTTTGTCTATTACAGGAACCTAAGTAAGGTAGATTATGAGTTCAAAGCCAGCCTGGGCTACACAGTGAGATACTTTAAAGTATCAAAACCTAGCAGGCTATGTGGCCCCATACCTTTAATTCCAACAGTCACCAGGCTATGGCAAGAGGATTGTCATGAGTTTGAGGCCACCCTGGAATACACAGTTTCATCCCTGCCCAAATGGATTGCAGAGTGAAATCCTGTCTCAAAACAACTCCTGTGAAAAAGAAAATAAAACAGCAATATAATGAAAGTTTACAAAAAATAAATCCGTTCAAAACTAGGCACAGTATAAAACAAGCGGAATTCTAGCACTCAGCAAACAGAGGTAGGAGAATTGTGAGTTCTAGGCCAGTCTGGGTTACATACTGAATGGCATTCTAGGAAACCCTGTTAACAAAACCCAAACAACCTAAGGCTAATTCAAGACTCATTACCTCAGAGTCCCTACTCATTACTAGCCCCATGGCCGCCCTGTTGGTAGGAGATGCCACTCTGTCATGCTGTGCTTGGCTTTGCTCTGTAGCCCTAGACATTCATGGGTGCAGGTATGTTTTCTTCTTAAGTTCCTCCCGGGTGACTAGCACACCGCACTTCTTTATGATTCTTCTGAGGTTCTTAGTGCTGGGAGGTGCACACTGGCAACCAGAAGTTAGGAAGGCAGAACATCTTGTTTCACCTCTAAGGAAATAAAAATAACTCTAAGTTCATTTTAGAAACAGAACTAGAATTTTAAGGAGTTGTTCTGAAACTACAGGAAAATGAGACATATTCTTGATTTTATTGAAAAAAAAAAAAACAAACCACAATTCAGTGAGGCTGGAGAGATGGCTCAACTAGTAAGAGCACATACTGATCTAGAAGAGGACCTGAATCTGGTTCCCAGCAACCATGGCCAGCAGCATACAACCACCTTGAAGTCCAGATCCGAGGGATCTGGGCCTCTACAGCACCCGTGCTCACACACACACACCCTCACTCCATCACACAAATAACTAAGAGTAACTCTTAAAAAACAAGCCAAATCAAAACAACAATGTCCCCCTCAGCTCAAAGAATATCTCTGTGCCAAGTAGCATTTATGTGACATTTGCGGAAGACTGCACGGAAGAAACACTAAGATGAGAACAGTCTGAGGCTAGATGGTAACTCTTGTCAAAAACACACTTATAGAATTCAACATTTTCTGAAAGTTTGTTTTGTTGCTTTAAAGAAAATAACAATAAACAAACATGGATTATTGACTGAATGCAGTATTTGCCTTTCCGCAAATACTAACAGATCAGGTAACACATGTCAGCTTCATTCTCAGTAAAACAGACTGCTACAGACGTGGGAAAAATGAGTTATTTTGTAAATTTAAATACGACAAAGGTCTGAGAACTTAAACATAGTTTTATAACTTTGATTAGAAATAAATAACTGATTTTTTCCCTTTTAAAAAATTAAAGAAAAAATTTCAGAGTTATTTCTGTATGTGGGTGTTTTTCTGCATGTATGAATGTGCACCATGTGTGTGTCTGGTGCTTGTGGAGTTCAGAAGAGGGTGTTAGATCCCCTGGGGCTGGAGTTACAGATGGTTGTGAACCATCGTGCAGGTAGGTGCAGGGAATGGAACTCGGGTCCTTTGCGAAGCAAAAGTGTTCTTAACTGCTGAGCCAACTCTCCAGTCACATTTTTTTTCCTTTAGAAAATAAGTTTAATATGGAAAAATATTTTCTTTTTTTCTTTTCTTTTCTTTTTTTTTTTTTTTTTGGTTTTTCGAGACAGGGTTTCTCTGTGGTTTTGGAGCCTGTCCTGGAACTAGCTCTTGTAGACCAGGCTGGTCTCGAACTCACAGAGATCCGCCTACCTCTGCCTCCCGAGTGCTGGGATTAAAGGCGTGTGCCATCACCGCCCGGCTGGAAAAATACTTTCAAAATTCTGAAAACCTTCATGTATATGGCAGGGAAGGAACAGAAAACATACGTGAATTCATGTCAGAAATACATTTATTTATTTACTTATTGTTTCCTAAGATAAGATTTTACTATGCACAAGAACAACTTAAACTTACCTACATAGCTAAGGCTGATCTTGAACTCATGATCTTCCTGCCTTAGCCTCCCAAGGGCTATGACTGCAGTGGGCACCAGCACATCGTGTTAACATATTAATGTGTTTAAAATACATGATTGGTACTATTTGGAAAGTACAGCTATATGAATTTTACATGGACTCCTCATTTGATTACATTAAAACAAACAAAAAACAAACAAGCAAAAGTTTCTCCAATGGGTGATTAGCCTAAAAGATTTTTATTTTATGCCAATTAGGGCATCTTGTGAGAATAACAGAAAATGATTGAATGATTTATTTTCAGGGTCGGCTTATAAAAGAAGTTAAAAAGGCAGATAATCAAGGCTGCTGGAACTGTGCATGACGTCAGTCAGGAATGTCAGTGCATCCTTAAGAAGTCACGGGGAAAACTGCCTTCTTGAAATAGAAGCTTCTAGGCTTGGGGTGCTTGAGTTTTCAATAAAGAATAAGGGTTCCGGGGCTGGAGAGATGGCTCAGAGGGTAAGAGCACTGGCTGCTCTTCCAAAGGTCCTGAGTTCAATTCCCAGTAACCACATGGTAGCTCACAGCCATCTGTAATGAGACCTGGTGCCCTCTTCTGGCCGGCAGTACATTGTATGCTTAATAAATAAATCTTAAAAAAAAAGAATTAGGGTTCCAAGGATGAGCATTGCAGTGTACACCTGAAATCTCAGGTGTCTGGGAGTCTAGGCAGGAAGATCATGAATGAGGGCAGCCTGCACTTCATAGCAAGATCATTTGAAAAAAAAAACACCAAAAACTTTTCTTTTAGGATTTTTGCTAAGGCCTAACCTACATGGTGGTTTGTGCTCTCAGAAGCTCACAAAGGTCTAAGTTTAAGGAGGTCTATATGGGGAAGCCACAGGTCACAGTTAGAGAAACTTGGATTACTTCACCTGGACTCTGGGGACTGGGCTTGTGACATGGTCTCTGCTCTGCTACTTCAGCTGCAAGATGCCATATCCTGTGCATCTGATTGCCACTAGGCTTCCGTACAGTCTGGTGGAGCGCCATGTGACAGAGCAGTGTCACAAAAGCTTCTCAAGGCACAGGTATTCACAGGGAAAATTTGGGGTTCTGATGTGATGTATGGCCTCGTGGTCACATCTCCAAGAGCAGCAGGCAGAAGGACCCTCTCATTCCTCCCAATGTGCACAGCTAGGAGGGCATAGTCACTTGCGACTGCTGCACGCCGTCCATTCAGCTCTACAGAGTTGGTTTCTTAGATTCCAGTTTTCTGGGCTTGAAGAACTTCTTTAGTTCCCGTAACTCCTGGGGCTGCAAACTTTGGTCCACCCCTGGGGTCAGTTTGTAGGTCAGTGGGGACAGGATGTAACCATTTTGATAAAGAAAAATTCTTTTGCAGAACTCAAACATGCTAAACATAACTCCAAAATATGGAACGACCTGTTGAACAGAAAATGAAAATTGTGTTAAATTCTTTTTTCAAAAAGACTTACTTTTATTCACCTATCTGTGTGTGTGTGGCTCGGCACCCATGGGGGCCAGAAGAGGGTACTGGGTCACTAGGACATGGAGTTATATGTGGTGTGAGCATCTCAACATGGGTGTGGGGAACTGAGCTCAGGTTCTCTGGAAGATCAGCAAACACTCTTCCTCACTGAGCTATCCCTCCAGCCTACATGTTAAAACAACTTTTTGAAATTACAAAATGAATTTTAATTTAATTTATTGTTTGGTTTTTGGACACAGGGTTTCCCTGTGTAGCCCTGGCTGTCATGGAGTCCTGGAACTTGCTCTGTAGACCAGACTGGCCTTGAACTCATAGAGATCCACCTGCCTCTGTCTCTGAGTGCTGGGATCAAAGGCGTGTGCCACCACTGCCTGGCTAATTTTTATTTTTTTATTGTTGTGCACTAGGAAGTATGGGGAGTAAGAAATGACTCTATTCAGTCATTTCCCTTTAGCCAATTTCAGTGTCTCAAGGTTTAATTAACAGAACAGGGAAGCTGTCCTGAGCTGAACCCAACCCTTTGGAGCCATGAAGTAAGTTATTAAGAAAAGGTGTTTCTGCGGTGGAGCTGCACCAGGGTCAGCTAAGATAATAGCTGTGGACAGCACTACTTGGTGATTCTTTTTGGAATCAAAGAACGTAGAAAGAGGAAATCTGGTACAGTGCGGGAGGGGAAGAAGGATGGCAGAGCCCCTTAAGGGCATGCCCTGGGCCAGCACTGGGTCTACATGAATATGCATGTCGTTGATTAGCACTGTTCATCACTATATGCTGGGCTTGACTGCATATTTACATGTGAGCTAGCTAGTTCAGAGTTCTTGTTCTTAATTCTGGTGACAGAAGTCTATGGAAATATAATTCATTTGTGGATTGTATTTGTATTTCTGCAAACAATTTTAGATGGGGACTGTATTCTCCTTAGGGGTCCATGTGTCCGACTGTTGGAAAATTCTAGATCAGACTAAATGCTCAGCTCTTCTAGGATTGGGTGTTAGATTCTCCCCCATTGTATCCATCAGGGTCGATGGGCTGTGTCCATTAGTGGTAGATGGGGTGTTTTCATGTGAATCCTACTAGCATGATAAGGAAGGGAAAGAAGTGGAAGAAGCAGAGAAGCAGGAGACAGGCCACCCTCCTCACCTTCAGTAAGTTAGCTGTTAGTCCGCTCCAGAGGCCCAGGACCCCTTGGGTCTTCACTATCTGCCGGAAGCAGTCCACTGCTCCTGAGAAATGGACATCTACTCCTCCATGATGGGGAAGATAAGGACTCTGAGCCTGGCAGGAAAAGAAAGGTATTAGGGAGTGGTTGAAGTACTCGAAATTTAATATCTGACACAAAATGAGCAGGGTCTCGGGTATGGATCTGTGTCTAGATGGTGGCAAAAAATAGTAACTTCAGAGTTCATCTTCTTCCATCGTCTTAGAATGATGTTGGTGGGTCTTATGTCAATGTGTTATTTTATTGGTTAATAAAGAAACTGCCTTGGCCTTTGATAGGACAGAAAATTAGATAGGCAGAGTAGACAGAAGAGAATGCTGGGAAGAAGGGAAGTGAGACACAGACGCTATAGCTCTCCTCTCTAAGATGGACTCAGGTTAAGATCCTTCCTGGTAAGACATCACCTCGTGGTGCTTCACAGATTATTAGAAATGGGTGAATCTAGATGTGAGAATTAGCCAGTAAGAGGCTAGAGCTAATGGGTCAAGCAGTGTTTAAATGAATACAGTTTCCATGTAATTATTTTGGGTAAGCTAGCTGGGAGCCAGGCAGCGGGAAGCGGCCCGCCACTCCTATTTCTACATTAGAAGGAAAAAAAACACATTTTTTTGAGATAAGGTTCTCTGTGTAGCCCTGGCTGTCTGCTGTCCTGGAACTTGTTCTGTAGACCAAGCTGGTCTCGAACTCACAGAGATCTGCCTGCCTCTGCCTCCCAAGTGCTGGGGTTAAAGCCACCACCACCTGGCTAGAATAAAAGTTTTTTGAAACAAAGCCTTTCTTATGTAACCCAGTTTGGCTGGGAGTCACCACACTTCTGTTTCAGCCTCTTAAATGCTGAGATCACAGGTATGAGCCACCATGCCTAATTTAGAACAAATAATTGATTTGCTATAGAACCATGATGCCTTGCTCACATATTTGTGGTGTATTTTGCTTAAAAGAAAGCAGGTATTTTGGATAGACTCAATTTTATACCTGCATTCCATCCCAGCCTATGTCCAATGGACCTGTTACATACTTCTATGCCTCTAACCTTTTTGAGATTTATTTATATTTATTTTACCTATATGGGAGATTTGCCTGCATGTATGTCTGTGTACCATGTACATGTGAGGGCATCAGACCCTCTTAGAACTGGAGTTATAGATGGTTGCTAGCTGCAAAGTGAGTACTAGGAATTGAACCTGGGTCCTCGGGAAGAGCAGCCAGTGCTCTTAACCACTGAGCCATCTCCCCAGCCCCAGACTGTAATCTTCTTTTGGTGTCGTCTTGACTCCTTATCTAAACTGATTCCTCTTCTGGGAAGCCACCAAGTAGGGGCTTTTTCCCACAGCACAAACGTCACAGGGTTGAGAACAGGGGTACTGTGGCATTCTTCCGGTTGTCTATTGCTGTCCGCTTCACTCTCATGACAAAAGTGCCCATCTGGGGCCCAGGCTACTCTACATCCTTTTCCTGCTGTCATCTCTGGACCTCCTGGCCATCCTTCTACTTTTACTAGAGACTGGCACCTGGTGGTCAGGTTTAGCCCAGCCTCACCATCATCTTAGGTAACTTTAAGAAGAAAAGGGAAAAAGAAGATGTTGAGTGGGGAAGGGGAGAGATGCTGTGGGGATGGTCCAGGGAGAGTTGGAAGGAGGGAGGGAGGGGTGGATGTGACCACTATACTTGTATATGTGTATAAACTTTTCAAAGAATAAGAGAATGCTAAAAGGACAGTCTATGCCAATTTCAGTCTGGCCCTCATTCTCAGTTTGGTCATCTTTTCTTCGGGCACTCCATGGATTGCATCCCCCCCCCCCCCCCCGAACTACTCATAAAATTCTGTCCTCATCAAAATTGCTCAATTCCTGAAAGGAACGCTCTTGTCTCTTTAATCATGGTACTTGTGAGGCTGAGGCAAGCTTCCCCCACAGGTGGATATACCCAGCCCCATGTACATAATTTAAATGAAAAAAAAATCTATAGAAAAAAATAAAGAACAGGCTGGAGGCTGGAGAGATAGCTCAGTGGTTGAGAGTACTTGCTGCTCTTGCAGAGGGCTAAGTTCAGTTCCCAGAACCTTACATCGGGTAGCTCAGAACTGCCTGTAACTCCAGCTCCAGGGAAATCTAATATCTTCTTCTGATCTCCGTAGGCATCCACACTCATGGGTACATAGCCACACGCAGACATACACACACGCATAGAATTAAATAGAAATCCTAAAGCTATCACTGAATACAACAGCATGTATAACTCCAGAGGCACGACACAGAGTGCACTATTTTCAGAAGATAACACCACAGGGATAGAGAATGTTGAAGGAGCTGTGGGCTATGTTCCTGCCATCCAACTCCCGACTGCCTGGCTAGCTTATGCCCCGAAATAACAACACACAAACTGTATTCATTTAAACACTGCCTGGCCCATTTGCTCTGGCTTCTTACTGGCTAATTCTTACATCTTAATTTCCCATTTCTATTAATGTGTGTAGCATCCCACGGGGAAGATTCTAGCCTACATCCAGCCTGGGTTGGAGTTTCATCGTGTCTGCCGGGGAGAGGGGAGCATGGCATCTGAACTCACTTCCTCTCCCAGCATTCTGTTCTGTTTACTCCACCCACCTAAGGGCTGGCCTATCAAATGGGCCAAGGCACTTTCTTTATTAGCCAATGACCTTCCTCCATCAGGAGAACACACGGAATCTTACCATCTTAGGGGTGCTCCTGGAGGCCTTGACTGTAAAGGGAGTGCACGAGAATTTGGGGATTGACTGAACAGTTCTATGTCTTCATTGTGGTGGCAGTCACACAAATCTTTACATCTATCCAAAACTCCGAGAACGCCACACCAAAATAAGCTAATTTGACTGTTTGGGAATAAGGGAGGGGGCAACGCTCTGAAAGGTCAAGTTAGGATTGGAGGAAGAAATTGTGTTTCCCGTGGATGGGACTTGAATGTATTCATCTGTTAAGGAGGAAAGATGCCCAAGAGGAACGTGAGGTGTGACGCCCAGGGCACCACCAGGAAGGAGGGAATAGCACGTAAAGAAGCAAAAGGTTGAGTTTCTTTATCACTCCACTTTCCCCATGAAAGAGCAAACCAGGTTATCTGCCTAGGGAGGAGGTGACAGGTGCGCAGGGAGGAGAGCAGTGCCAGGTTATCCGCGTAGAGAGAAGGTGGCGGGTGCGCAGTGAGGAGTCTGGTAAGATTTGGAAAAGCTGTTATGAAGATGTGCCAAGGACACTTGAAGACTAGCGGTGCAGATTTGAGGCTATGAACTTTCTGTGCACCCCCAGCTGCTTTCCCAGGCATCCATCTTGAGCAGTGTGAATCAGAGGGAGTTTGTGGGGTTGAGGATAAGCTCAGGGGACAAGTGGCATGGATTTCAGAATGGGAGTCAGAAAGCCACAAGAATGAAAACCAGGGGCTGGAGAGATGGCTCAGTGGTTAAGAGCATTGCCTGCTCTTCCAAAGGTCCTGAGTTCAATTCCCAGCAACCACATGGTGGCTCACAACCATCTGTAATGAGGTCTGGTGCCCTCTTCTGGTCTGCAGGCATACACACAGACAGAATATTGTATACATAATAAATAAATAAATAAATAAATAAATAAATAAATATTTTTTTAAAAAAAGAATGAAAACCAAGGGGCCTGGAGTTGTGGCTTAGTTGGTAGAGTCCTTGCTTGGCACTCTAACAATGCTGTGGGCTCCATCTCCGGCACCACATGAACTGGGCATGGGGATACACATCCATAATTCCAGCATTGGGGAGCTGAAGGTAGCAATGTCAAAACTTTAAGGTCATTCCCAGCAAATATCAAGTTCAAAGACCCTGTCAAAGAAAAGAATGATAAGGGGATAGAGATAAGTACAGTCAGTAAGATGCCTGTTGTACAAAGTCTGGTTTCAGTTCCCAGCACCCATAGAAAACGATGGGTGTGGTGATGCATGTTCTTCTAGCACAGCCTACTTGCCTAGTGCAAAGTCCCAGAGAGACTCTCACAGAAAACAAGGTGGATGGCTTCAGAGGAGCAACACCCAACATTGACCTCTGGCCTCCACACACATGGGCCAACATGTGACATGTACCAACACAGACAAACTCACAGAGTGGGGGAAGAGGGAGGGAGGAAGGGACACAGAGAACCTGGGAACAAGGAACCTGAAGCCAACAGGATGCTGGTGGCCTGGACATAAAGGAGCAGGCAAGTGAGCAGAGGCATTAACGATCCGAGGGACTGTGATGAACAGGACCATAAGGCATCTTGGTCCTTGATGTGGTCTTATGCTGATTCTTTGGTACCTTTTTTTCCTGTAGTTCTGGGGATTGATTTCAGGACCTTGTATACACTAAGCAAGTCCTCTTCTGGATTCCTTCAGTCCTTTGCTGTGTTTCCGGTAAATAGCCCCTTCCTTGATTTCATTCAGCTTTCCTGTCCCATCCATCTCCTCATCTACATCCTGACTGTGCCTCCCGACAGGGCTTGCTACCTTCATGTCACACACAAAGCACTGGAGCTAGACAGCTTGCAACAGCTCACTAGCCTATGACCTCCAGCAAATGCCTTGATCTGTCTGAGCCCCCCTCTTTCCCCTGTAAAATGGAGTAATAACATGTACCTTATAGGATTGTTATTCATATTAAATAATTTAGCACATGCAAAGTGCTTAGAACTGGACTTGATATAGAGCAGGCACTAAATAAGTAACCACCATCATTAAGGTCATTATTACCATTTCTAAACTTGGAGAAGAGACAAGTATGCTGAAGACCAAACCAACCTGCTAGACTGGAATGCTAGATTGCCTTGTTCTTAAATTATATCCTACTAGCAAAGAGAACAGAACGTAGTAGATGGCTAGTCACAAGGGCCTGAAATTAAGGTTTCTTCTACACAGACCCAGGCAACTCTCTAGGCTAAGTAAGATGTAGCCACCGGCTTCAGGTCCCCAGTCCTCAGGGGGAGCACGCTGGATCCTGCACTATAACATCACCTAAAGAGATCAGGAGAACTAGGCCCTGCTGGCCACTAGTGGTATAACCTTGATAAGTCAGTGACATCTTTGG